GAATTGCCAGTTGGAGAATCCAAATTTAAATGCTAGCTGCATGCCTGTGAGCCTAGAGCTCAGAAGGCTGAGCCAGGAAGATCTAGAGTTTGAGGCTAGCCTGGGCTAAAAGAGAGACCATATGTTCAAAACAAACAAAACAAAACATAAATAAAACGGACAAAGAAAAGGACTAAAGATCCTGTGCTTCAAGTTTCCTGTTCTTCTTTAATAATAGTTTCTTTGTGTGTGAATGTTTTGCCTGCCTGCCTGCGTGTATGTGCACCTTGTGCCCACAGAGGTCAGAAGAGGGAGTTACAGGTAGTTGTGAGCCACCGTGTGGGTGCTGGGAATCAAACCTGGACCATCTGCAAGAGCAGCCAGTGCTCCTAACCACTGAGCTGCCTGCCTCTCCAGTCCGGGCTTCCTCTTCATTCTCATTTGCATCCCTGTAGAGAGAAACAGACATAGAAGGGTGCTGCAGCATCCTTTGTGAGGGGAAGCCTTGCTATAAAATCTACAAAACATGCAGGAGGCTGTGTGCGCAGGGAGCAGGACACTTACCAGTCCAGGAGCTCCACCACTGGTCCTGTTTATTCCTCCTACTCACGCAAAAGAAGCCGGTGACAAAGTGCCCCTATTCTGGGCTGAAGAGAGAGGCTTCCTGTGCGGCAGGAGCAGGCTGTGGGAACAGATGTGTCAGAATTTACTGGGTTGTAGCTCCACACAGAGCTGCATGAGATTTTTTATTTGTTTGTTTCATCATGCATCTGGGCATTGCTATCTGGGAACTGAATTCCCTTCCTTCCTGTTCCACGGAAGTGGCTTGCAGGCTTCACTGATGTGGGGCCAGACAGACTGGTCCCTCACTAGCTGGGTTGTGAGTTTTGGCTGAAGAGAAGGAAGAGGAAGCCGGTGTCTCTGATCATCTGTCTTTTGCTTCCTTTCTGTTAGGAACACACGAGGCTGGATTCTCCAACTGCGTAGCCCATATTCCAGATGAAATCCCAACCCATGGTGACTGGAGAGATGGCTCTGTAGTTCAGAGCCTTGGCTGCTCCTGTAGAGGACCTAGGTTTGTTTCTCAGCATGTGCATGGTGGCTCACAACTATCTGTAATTCCGTTTCCAGGAGATCTGATGCCTTCTTCTGGCTCTGGCAAGCATATGCATGAGGTACACATAAATGCCTGCAGGCAAACACTCGTGTACATAAAATACCTTATCCATAGACTTTTTCTTGTAAGAGAATGTTATCCAATGCTCCAAGGACCCAGACACCCCCCCAAGACCTCGCTGTTGGACTCATGATGGCACCAGGTCTAAGGTACAAGGTGATCTCCAAAACATGTTGGGTGTGTGTGTGTGTGTGTGTGTGTGTGTGTGTGTGTGTGTGTGTGTGTGTGTTTCCCCTTCCTTTTTCCCTTTCAGTATCTGAGAAGTCAACTGAGGCCAAGCAGGGTTAGAACTCTGAAACCAACCTCACTGAGGATGACCAGTTCTTACCAGATACGTCTCTGTTCCTGGCAGCCCACCTCTCCTCAGCTAGCTAAAACAACAGTTACCCAACCCTGAGAGTTACCTGCACAGGAGTGGCGGGGGGCTTACTTCCTAGGGAAGACACACTGCTTCTGAGTATAAGGTGCAATGCACTCTCACCAGGTACATTTCATTTCTGTGATTATACTTTGTGTACATGGTCGGACTCAAGGCTGCAGAGAATGTGCATTTGTAACTGAGAGAATGAGGTTACTTGTAAAGTGGAAGCCAGTGAAAACAGCACACCATGTATCCAATTAACCATTCAATCTAGGTTCTCGCAAGATGGGGCATGTTGATGTCTTGTCTTCATCAGGAAGCTGAGGCACTGGGATGAATGTGTTAGAAGGAGATTGTTTCTTTCCATTACTTTGCAGTTAGTCTCCAGTTAGAAGAAACTGTGGATGGATGTAAGAAAGAAAGCCATTGTGGAGTTAAGTATTGGGGGGCCTGGGAAGTTAGCTCAGTGGGTAAGAGCACTTGGTGCACAAGCCTGAGGACCTGAGTTTGAATCCCCAGCACCCACTTAAAAAGCCTGTAATCCTAGGACTGTGTGTGCCTTAGAAACATTGTTGGATGATAACCTAGCTCCAGGTTCAGTGATACCCTGACCCAAGAAATGAGGTGGAATGATACAGCAGAATATCTGAGCTCTTCTGGTTTTCAGGTGTGCTCATGGACACATGCTGCTGTATACTCGTGTGTACACTCTCTCATTCACACAAGAACTGGTAGATGCTGGATTGTTAGGTGAGTGTTGACAGAGTGTTCTCTAGAAGGATGTATAATTAACCCAATATGTTATCATTTGAGGAAAGCCCTGGTTTAAAAATATCCAACTCCCTTATAATTCTTCCTTTCCCAGCATAATTCCCATCATTCCTAGCATCAGTGTGCTAGAGGACTGAATGCCAGTCTTGGCATGGACCTTGTACCCTGTGAACCAAGGAAATACTTCTTTGGAGGTTCCCATGTAGGATGGGCCATTCTAAGCCAGGGGCTCTCTGCTTACAGATTAATAAACCACTGTGGTATCTTTGGAGGATTTTGCTATTGTAACTTATTCTCCAAGAACCTGGTCACTTCTGGTCACCATGAACACTTCATTGTTGGACCAGAGTTTGAAGCAGTGCTCTCATAGGCAAGGCACTGGCAGCTTCTCTCTGCCACCTTCCTGTCTTGGACAAGGCACATGGGATTCCTAAACCCAAGGTTGGCTTAGGCTGGACTCTGAAGTAATGATACCTGATCACCTAGAACCCTGTGAACACTTTTGGGCCAGATTGCTTTTTGTGGCAGAAGCCTGTCCTGTATATTATGGAAGATTTAGTAGCATCTCTAACCTCAACCCTAGATACCAGTGTCACCTTGTGTTGTAGCTATGACAACCAGAAATGATGCTAAATACTGTCAAATATGTGCTAGCAGGCAAAGCCACCTGGACTGAGAACCAGTCCTCACAGAGCTAAGAAGGGACAGAGAACTTCCTGGAGGAACATGGCATAACCCTGTACATAGGAGTAGCTGAATGTTTCTGTCCTGTATCTCTATGCTAGTGTGTCAATTCACAGTGTGCTGGCCACATGAGCCCACAGGGTCATATACTACAACACTTTTCAAACAACTCAACTGGGTGTCTTAGAAACAGATTTGGATTTATTAGGTCTGGGGTGGTGCCTAAGATTATGTAGACCTAACAAGCTGCCAGTCAGTGTTGATGCTGCTGATCCTCAGATGATGGCCTGGGTGGTGAGGATGTAGGCCAGGGATCTACATGATACAGTACCTGGACCAACTTGAGATCACTATGTTTTTTAATGATGTGTATGGCTGTGGGGGTATTTGTCTGTGAGTGCTTGTACCCAAGGAAGCCAGACAAGGGTGTTGAATTCCTTGAAGCCGGAGGTGCAGGTGGTTGTGAGTTGGCAAACATGGGTGCTGGGAAACAAACTCAACTCCTCTGTAAGAGCAGTAGGTGCCGAGTGAAGAGCGCAGTCAAATGCATGTAAAGATGCTGGGAACTAAAGACAATCTGGCATTGTCGGAGAAGCACTCGGTGAGCTTGTATCTGCGTCTGTGGGTGTGTGGCCTGCGGAGGAGGTTCCATAGGAACCGAGGTTAGAGTCATAGAAGTACCTGTGTTTGTTATTAAAGTGAGTGGAGACTGGCTGTGGGCTTCGGCTGCAGCTGTGCGATCAAATCTATGTTGTTGAGATATGTCCCTGCTGGTGAGTGGGTACTCGCTTGAGTCAGGAAAGACGAGGCATCCAAATGAGCATGTGGGAGACAGTTGCAACCCTCAGAAATGAGTGACGTGGCCTGCATCGTGGAGCATCGGTGAGAACAGGTGGGAGGGGATGGATCTGAACTGAAGAGTCCAGCAGCTTCTTCCTCTGCCCGGATCCTGGGCTCCTGGAACCTGCTAAGCCCACACGTGGTGGCGAGGAGCTGGCCAGTGGCCTGGTCTCCCGTTATTTTACTGTATCCTTCAGGGTTCACCTTCTAGGAATGCTAATGGCTCGTGAAGGACATACCCTGCTGTGGCTCAGAGGCTAGGGGGAGGGGAGTCACCCTCCAGCAGACAGCACCCCCCACAGGCAGCCTCTTTTCAGAGCTCCTTAGCTCCCACTCTTCATTCTGAAATTCTGAGTTTAAAAAAAAAAAAGTAATAAAAAAGTACCGGAGGGTGCCTGAACTGAACTGGCTTGCCCCAGAGATCAGACCGGTGAATACCCTAACTGTCACCACAGAACTTTTCTCCAATAATTAATTGATGGAAGTAGATGCAGAGATCCACAGCCAATCACTAGACAGAGCTCCAGGAGTCCAGTCAAAGAAAGAGAAGAGGAATTCTATGAGCAAGTGCATCAGGATCATGATGGGGAAATATGCAGAGATGACCAAACCAAACTAGTGGGAACTCATGAAAGTTGTATCAATGGCTTGTGGAGCCTGCATGGGACTGGACTAGGCCCTTTGCATGGTGAGACAATTGTGTAGCTTGATCTGCTTGGGGGCCCCCCTCTGGCCATAGGATCAGAATCCATTCCTGGTGCATGAGTGGGCTTTGTGGAGCCCACTACCTATGATGGGACACCTCGTGCAGCCTTGAGCCAGGGGGGAGGGCTTGGACTTGCCTCTACTGAATGTGCCTCCACATGGGAGGCCCTTGCCTTCTTGTGGGGAGGAGTGGGGATGGGTTGGGAGGGGAGGCTGGGGGAGGGTGGGAGGAGGGAAGAGGGAGATCTTTGATTGGTGTGTAAAATGAATGAAAAAATTGTCTTAAAAATAAAGATTGGGTACCTTTTCAGGGCAGTCCACCTACTACCATGTCTGAAACAACTTTACTGTGCCATCCCCCTGCCTGCTACTCTGCTCTATTGCTTTATTGTTTTTTTTTTTTTGTTTGTTTTTTTTAAAAAAAAACTTCTCTCTCACTTCTGGATTCTGAGATTCCCCCCATCCTTATTCTAATCCCTGACACATTGTTGCCATGGAGTCAGGAAGCTGGGATCCAGGAGCAGACTGACCTCCCAGGTCTTAATGGGCATTTTAGAACTGGACACAGGGTGGCAGCTGTGGAATCAGCGTCGCTGACCCATCTCCAAGGGTGGCATATTTTGACCCGAGGGACAGGGCACCTGATCAAAGTACATGCGTGTCATCGGTGTGGGCTTCCAGCAAGACACGGGAGCAGAGCCGTCACCGAGGTGATGACGTGGCTCTGATGGACTGTCCCTCAAAGATGAACCAGGGAGAATGCAGTGAAGCCTACGAGGAACGGCCTGAGGGAGGGCCGCAGCAGGGCAGAGAAAGGAGAAAAGTCAGGAACAGCACGTAACAGCAGTGTTACCGCCTCCTGAAAACCAGGCGCCTCACCCCATCGAAGGACAAGACCTAGATCTTTGTGGCTCCCTGCCTAGGAAAGGTAGCTGGCTTCCTTTGGGACCCCGGTTTTTTGTTACTGAGCACAGGCTGCTGGAAACACAACCCCAGGAAAGCAGACTGTGTGTGTGCCTCACTGCTCACCTTATGTCTCCACACAGGAGAAGAGAGGGAGGGGCCCACGCTGATCCGGAAGTGTCCAGGAGCTCTCCTCCCCATGCCACATGAGGCTGCCCCTCAGCCCCAGCACGGAGCCAGTGGCCAAGGAGCCCTTGGAGATGGCTTTGCTCAGCAGCATCCTGGCAGCCTGTTCCTATATCTCAGGTGGGTGCTGGTGTCTGCTGGTCAGGGCTGTGACCCTGGACTGAGTCCTGGGCTGCTTCCTGCTGGCCAGGTCTGGTCTTGTACCAGGAGAGAAGTGAGTGGTCATCACGGGGAGGCTCTGTTCCACTGGGTTTGAGATGAAAGTTTTTCAGGTTCTTATTTAAGTGTGATATCCTCTAATTTGGCAGGTGAATACTCCCGACAGCTTTGTCTTTCTGGAGAAATGTTTAGCAGCCTTTTAGCCATGGGCTGCTGCTGGCTTCTGTCCTCAGCACATCAACTAATAAGCAAGGTACTGAGGAGTCCACCAGCCTGAGGATTTTTGTAGGTTCTCAACCCCACACAGGTTTCCCTGTCTGTGAGTGTGTGTGAGTGTGTCTGTGTGTGAGGGAGAGTGTGTGTATATGCATATGTGTGTGTATGTGTGTGTGTATGTGTATGAGAGAGAGTATGTTTATTCATGTGAGTGTGTGTGTGTGCGTGTGTGCGTGTGTGTGTGTGTGTGTGTGTGTGTGTGTGTGTGTGTGTGTGTGTGTTGTGGTGTGTTGTGTTTCAGGGGCCACCTAAGGTGTTTGAGAGCCTTCGGGAGGAGAGGGAGAGAGAAGGTACGTGACTCTCAGAGACTTGATGTTAACCTCTTCTTGATTCAAAGTCATGCTCTTCAGCAAGATGGCTGACTTTCTCCTTTTTTTTGTTCTGGAGACTAGACACTGTTCATATAAAAGGTGCTATTTAAGGTCACATGGAAATGCTCTTTTGTTTGAACGATCAGACTTGTGTTGCTGGAGTGAGTGTTTTAATTTTTCATGTTTTAATAGCTTGCTTGTATTTTGTTTTGTTTTGCCTGGAGTTGTATGGCTACTGTATGAAGAAGGGCCTGATGTTCTGATTCTACTCCCTTTGGGGGAAGAGTTTTATTTTCTGATTTTTCTAGCCAGAGTTCATATTGGTAACTTAAGAATTCAAAGGAAAAGCCCAATGCTTCTATTTACAATGGCTCAGCCACTGTAAGGGAGATTCTGAGGGCTGCTAACCCATCTGGCTCATTTGTGGTTGGCAAGACAAAGCATGTCTTAGTTACTTTCCTGCTGCCGTGACATGCATTTCGACAAAGCAGTTTATGAGAGAGAAGGTATACCTTAGCTGATAGTTCAAGGTTACCCCATTATGTCGGTAAGTCAAGGCAGCAGGAGCTTGAAGCAGCCAACTATATGGTCTCACAACCGGGAACAGAAAGCAGTGAGCACAGGCATGTTGTTATCTGGGTCTTGCTCTCTGTGTACAGAGCCAAGATCCTCTGCTCTGCCTAGGGAATGGCTCCACCTTTCCCAACTGAGATTGATTTTCTCACATTAATTAGCATAATAAATATAAACTCCCAAAGGACGTGAAGTTGGGAGGGGGTAAAAGTGAGTCTTGGAGGAGCTGGGGGAAGAGGGTGGGTGAATATGATCAAAATACATTGTATGAAAGTATGAAGTTCTCAAAGAATTAATTTTATATATATATTTAAATATATATATATTTAAAAAGATAACCTCTCCCAGACGCTCTCAGAGGCTAACCTTAGTCTCGACAACCCCTCACAGGTGCATTGAAGTCTGTCAGTTGACCATTCACACTGACCATCACCGGGCATCTAGGCCACGGCTGCCATATGTCCTGGTTCTTCTTTCATGATGCAGAGAATGCAATCCTTTGCCTCATTTAAGGAACTCTGATAGCTGCTCCCTCCTTCCTGGGCATCCACACAACAGAGATATTTCACTCTTTTTTTTTTTTTTTAAATGGAGACAGAGTCCCACAGGCTGTCTCCAAATGTCCCGTGAACTTGTGCCACCACCTGTGGTTTATGCTGGAGACTGAACCCGGGGCTTCATGCAGACTAAGCTAGCACTCCACACGCTGAGCCACACACTTCCAGCCCCTTTGCTGTTCCTTTGAGCTGTGCTGGGGATAGAGGACACCGAAGCTGGAGAAGGGAACTCGGGGGCGGTGACAACATGTTTGCACAGTGACTGGAGCAGGCTGTACTGACTCTGTCCTGAATACTTCCCCACGGCGAAGTCGTGGACAGCTCAGGGGGTCTGGGATTCCCACAATCTGAGGGGCACCTGCAAACCAGCTCTTGGATGGAAATGCCTCTGGTGAAAGCAAACAGAGCGTTGGACTTTGGCTCTCTGCTCAGCACAGGAGGCACTTGGCGAGTTTCCATTTTGACCAGCCTGACCCTGAGTTGTGACCACTGAATGTGGTAATTCATGGAATTGGCTGCTGTTTACTGGGTGTCTTGTGATCGTGTTGAGGCTGAAAAAGCCCATGGCCCCATTTTTCTGTCTCCTCCAACCTCCATTTCCCCTATCCCGTTACACTGGGATTAGTTATTATGTGGGATACAGTAAAACTTTTCCTTCTTTTAGGGAAGCGTGTGTGTGTGTGTGTGTGTGTGTGTGTGTGTGTGTG